GAACACACAAGCGTGCAGGGTCGGAAGGAGAAACACAACCCTGCATGCGTGTGTGTCCCCTACATGTTTGTTTCTATAGTTCCTCTGTCATTTGCCAAGAAGGCCTTGCTAAGGCTGAAATATCACGCCAGTTTAATTTTTTCATTTGTATTTCAGGTCAGTCCAATCAGAGAGCAGTTTGCAGCAGTTTAATTCATGTTCATGTTATTATGATTAGTATTGCCCCCCGTTGTAGTTAACCTGTCACCAAGTATTTCTGCAATGTGACCCAATTTGGAATGTATAAGCAACATATTTCAAATAAGAATTTCCTTAATTGTAAAATCAATCAATCATTTCCTTGACAGTTAAGAGTGTATCGACACATAAGCCTTCAGAAGGTTATAAGAAGCAGCCGTTTCTGACCTATTTTCCCACCGATCGATCGTTACCTACGCGCGACTTAAGTGTCCAAGTCGCCCCAGCCAAGATACTGAACTGCATATACAATTCGAGAAAAAGGGCGCCAAGAAATTGGCGCGTAATTTAATTTGTTGGATTTTTTATTTAAATAACCCGCATTGAAATGCCGTAGATGTGATCTGAATACAAAGTAATTGTTTGATTGAAATACCACTGTTGACAACATTTATCGGGGTACCAGTCATTGCGCATGATGAATGAACTATAGCTTACGTTCGTGTACCATGCTAACCTGTACCAGTACCCTTGCTATTGAATGTCCGCAGAGAGCCAGGTATGTATTTAGCAGATAGGCTATCGTGCCTGGAACCAGTGTAAACAATAACGTGGCTCTCAGCCTGGCCCTGGTGCGCTTGGGTAATAGACTCTGGCTTAGGAAGCGGAATTTTCTTCTGTGGTAAATAGTGATTATTTACTGTACAGTGAATAATCTGGTGTCGCGTTCATTTGAAATAACATGGTTCCAACATTTTTAGAGGACAACATAATGTCAACAATCTAGACCGTTATTACCAGACTTTGAAATCTATGTTTCAATTTGCACTATTCCTTTTTGGTCCAAGTGGAACAACGTATATAATGTTGTTCTAATAAAGAACACGTTTTTCACTAAAACTTATACCAAACTATGATAAATGGTACAGGCGTGCGAGTAATTTGGCCCAGATTCTGATTATCTTCACTCGAATAATAATTGATGGATAAGACATGTTCGAGCATGCAGTCCGGGTCTTAATTAGGAATCGTCCAACATCTTCAAGAATTTTCCGCAACTAGTTACCAAGCAAAGTCCAAGGTTGATATCGTGGTGAGAGACTTGGACGAATCGGCTGTTGCAGTGTCACATTTATCATTTTCTACACTCGATAACAAAATCTTGATAAACCCTCGATTAAGATGCATGCTGAATCATGCCGTGCATGCCTAGGCCAGACTTGATTTGAATTTTTTGTTTTGTTTTTCTGGACCGTAATAGGGAACACGGCAACAGCGCTGATTTTAACCTCACGACCCCCTCAAGCCTCAAGATCAATTTATCACAATTATCGGACGGGCACGCAATGGCGCAGCCGACTCACGAGTATCAGTCGGCGGATGACGACTATGATGAAACCGCTAGCGGAAAGGCACAAAGCCTTCCCCGTAAATATGAGCTTGTCGTCGGTCGAACCACTCCAGTGCACCCGCTGGGTAGCCAAGGACCCTCGGAGAACAATTTGCATGGAAATTGCTGTCGTGCTGCTATATTCGCCTACTTTGTCTGCGTAACAAGGCAGTCACGTAACGGACGCTGTCGTCCGGATGCTGCCATGTAGCGTCTCGGATGAACATAAAGTAATCATCTACATCATAGGCTATATTGAGCAGGAAATTAATCAGAATTCCGAGAATGTAATCCTTTTAACTTTTTAGACCATAAGATGACGTAACATCACAATCAGTTGTGAATATTTAGTATTTTATTGATTCTGCCAATGTTTTTACCTGCTAAAGGTAAGGCCAAAAAAAAAGTCTCCGGTTTCTGGTATGGGGCTTGCCCAAAAAGTGGTGCGGCGACGCGGCTTTTTTTTTTTTTTTACCTGTCTTTTTTGCTTCAAATGTCGGCTGATGACCGCAAATGGTGCCCGACTAAACTTAGTGCAAATATATGGGAGTCCGGAGAGGCCACATAAAGCTTATTCTCGATCATAACCCCATCTAAAAACACGTTAAAATTGTGCATCAGTTAAACCAGTGAGTTTGGCGGTTTTAAGACATCATCTTTTATTGAAAAAAAAACCTTTTTCATTTTGCCGACGCGCATGGCTACGGCGACGTGCGCGCATACCAGAAACCGGAGACTTTTTTTTTTTGGCCTAAGCCATTTCTTTTGGCAAACGAAGGAATTATAGATCGATGTATCAAGGTGCGGCGACTGTGATATATTGAGCATTTTGTCAGTTAATTTCCAGAAAACATTAAAACGCACATTTAGTGTTCTGCCGATTTGCACCATACACACATCAAAACAAACTAATTAACTTCTGCGTTATAGGCTTCAAATATTCCATTTAATATCACAGTTAAACCTTTTTACCAAATAGGGACGAACCCTGTGAGAAATACTTATAATACTACGAGTAAAACAGACAAAAACATCAACATTGAAGGTTGGGTTCATTATAACATTGAAAACAGTTTAAATATCTGGAACTCACTTCACAAAATTTCAGATATAAAAACATTTTGCCCTGTCAGTCCCATCTTATCAATCCACTTATCAATGTCGCTAAAGAAATAAGTCAACATGTAACCGAGTTTAGATATGCAGAATTCTCTTTCACTCACTTCATCTGATATGAATTGGGTTTCTGTAACGCGAGCTTGCGGGAGTTGTGACAAAATAGAGCAGTTTGATCAGCTGTTGTTGGCGCGCGTTTCGTTTTGCATCAAGTGTCATCTGCTTGTTCGCCAAAGTGCGGATTGTTTATATGGATTACCCCGTGGTTCATATTAACCTATTTTTAGCAGCTATGAATGTGAGAAGTTGTAAGTAAAAACATCGATAGCAAGAACCAATTATTGAACCCCAATAACCCGAGGTTGGTTGGTGCCATAGACAGGAATAGGCCTGCAGTTAAATTACTTGGATTAAAAATATAGGCTTCTACGATTTAACAAACCGAACTTTCGAAACGTGTTGTAAAATCAAATGAAAAGTACATAAACATTAAAGACGTCCCATTTACAGTGCAACATTGGGTTAAATGTGTGCATGAGCAACATTCAGCTATGGTTTGCAATCATGATTTGATCAAATGACAATGTTTGTACCTTACAACCATCCCAACCCGACCACGTGGGTTCCTCGCACAAAACAATTGTCAACCATCATTATGAAGTCAAGTGAGTTAGGAATAATAACTGTACATTGGTGTATCATACGTCTTTTTCAATCTGTCATAAGCAAAGGATTCATTTCACAGCCTGTCACATCCAATTCTTAAACACACCATCTACGGATATCGTTATGTGCTCGAGGGGGGAACAACCAACATGAGGCATACGCTATGCTCTGTATGTAATCGAGACGATTTGACACCATATAACACCCGATCTGTAGATCCACAGCTTACTGTCTTACTAAATTTACAATATAAATAATCGGGGAAAACGTAAAGTAAGATGAAAATGTGTGTTTTCATTATTATTAATCACACATGGATACAGCGGTAGAAAGTCGGTGAAATACATTTCCTTCGAACTTGTTGATCAGACGGGCGCGTTAAAATTGTGTCGCTAATGCAGACACATTACAATTAAATTTCGGTCTTTAATTTAATTAACTCACAACGTCATCACAATTCATCATAATGTACCACAGACAAAACAAATGCTTTCATCGTAATAGTTCAATCCACAACCATTAGTCAAACAGTCAATAAAGCCTTTACTTGAGTATTAAATTCCGTTTTGACCTTTTAAGATCAATCAAATCCGACCAATCATGACGGGTCCGTAATAACTGATTATTTACGTCATAATTATTGACGTCACATTTCATGACGAGGCATCCGATTGGATCTCATGGCCCAACACTCGTATTTGTTAAAGGTTGGCTTTCGATGCAATTATTTATCTTGCTCGACTACAACTGGAAATAAGGCCTACTTCACATTGTATATACTACCAATATTAACCACTTTTCAGAACATCACAGTGATAAATGTACGTGTTTGTGACACAAAGTTGGAATGACGACGCGTTTTTGATTCAGTTTCATGATCTGTGTTTATCCGTCTGTCTGTCTTTTGTCGGTAAACCATCATTAATGTCCGTTCGTTTGTCGGCCGTTCGATTGTCTGTTAACATGGTCAGTCCAGCTCTCCGTTCGTCTTATCGTACCAAAGTCACCTACTGCACTTTGTCCCAATTTATGAATTATAAATTGACTTCAAAATTATATTTTGAATTTATTCGCCGCTTGGGGGGGGGGGGGGGTTAAAACACCGTTTCAATTGATTGCAAACATTATGACCAAACCCGAGTTGAATTTTAGATTTTAAAAAACTCAGTAATGGTGGTCCCTTGTATAATTGTAAAAGAGTCGGTTTTTTGAGACCTTTTATAACCAACCTAGTGTGAAATGTATTTCCTGTCCTTATACCCAGGGGCTTGATAACCCAAACATGTCTCAAACCGTATCCCCGTGGCTTGAGTGTTTCGAGATCGATGTTGACCTTCTGCACTCGAGCTGATGAACAACATGTCATTCGTGCAAGGTAAGGAGTCCTCTGGGGGACATTTAGGGTTTGGTTAAGGAGTCCCCGATGAGACATTGCCCTTCAGGTGGTCCGTGTCAGTGGGAACGGCGAAGAGAGGTAACCGGGCGGTTTCGCGCTCCACGTGGAATAAGTTTGATAATATGTAAATGTGTTCACATTAAAGAGAAATGCGACTTCGACGCTGATGCACATATCGATTTTTGTGAGGCTAAAGCACAACAATCTACATTGTTGGCTTTAAGCCTTCTCCCCCCCCCCTTTTTTTTTGGGGGGGGTAAATTGCCGCTGATAAGAAGGCTGAAGAAAATGCGATCTTGCCAGTGGGATCGATTTAACATCATGGCAATAATATCCTTTCTACGAGCACATTCTTTTTCATATCCAATATGCTGAGACTGTTTTCAGAGTTATTCCCTTCCTGCCTGCCAGTCGGTGATTCCAATCAACAGAGGGCAGATAATTTTAATCAAACGTGACGTGTATAAACGCCAATCTAAATTGCTCAAAGGGCAGTGTAGATGAATGTAAGTTCCATTATAAAATATGTGCCAAAATAAGAATAATCTTTTACGGATTTGGCAACCTGACATCGCATATTACAACGCCTAAATTTGAAATTCATTTTCTGGTAATTTACCAAAAAAAGTTTAGCCTGTTAAATATGTTCAATGTCATTAGATTGGGACTCATTTACTTCTGAGAAGATTTAATTCAAAACGAAAGTGTTATAGAAAAATAAAGTGCTTTCTCGATTTTGCATAACTATTCTTTGCATAAACTTGACAAAATCGAATTATACAGAGAAAATGAAACAAAAGGCAGAATACACAAATATCACATCACATATTTTTTGGTCTACAACTACGTGTATAGGCACTTCCTTTTATGTTCATAGAACATTATAGAAATTGTTTTGATACGCTTGTGCTTTTAGAATTTTGATGTGCTTGAACACAGCGTGATAGTGAATGTGCTTATTATGTAGGTGGGATGCATGGGTGTCGTGTGAGTTACATACAAGATAAATATGAGTAACATGTGGTATACACGTGGGATATGCGGGATACATGTTGAGCACACATGGGTAACATATGGGTTACATATGTAGGTTTCATGTGGGTTACACTGGGTACCGTTGGGATACATACAGGATTTAACATGGGTGACCAGTGGGTTACACGTTGGTAAGGCAATTACAGTGACATGTGCAATAAATACAGTTTACAGCCATTCAAATCACGTGTATACCGACTGTATGGCATTATGGCTGTGTGCGCAAATAAAACGATACCAGCCGCATCATTCGATAACTCGACCAACAAATGTCAAATTGTTGGAATACAAATAAAAACCATGTGAAAGAAGCTTTTTCCACTAACATTAAACATCATCTTCTTATGGAAATGAGGTAAAACGCTTCTCTCCGACATTAAACCCGTTTGAAGACGGGACCTTTATTTGATTCCTTTTCCAGAATTTGAATGATGGCACCTTCTGATTTATTTGCACATTTTTGCTAAAGGTATACCGCTGCCAAAGTACAATGATGAGATTTTCTTCGATGGATATACAATAAGGAAGGTCATGAATTTCGATTCAAAATCTACAATTTTACTTTGGTCGGTGAGACCGTCTTATGCGGATGTTGTCAATAGTTATGCTGATGTAGATGCATGTTCAGTGTTCGTACTACGTCAAGCTATATGTGGTCTGGTCCAAGCCTCAGCAGGTGTGTGGTGTTACATGGGCTGGGCTGGGGTTGGAGTCCGTCGCGTTACCGGTCCATTCAGGACCTCCTCTTTTGAACAACTCCAAACTTTCTTAAAACTCTTCTTGAAGTTGCCGCTAAGAAATCCGTACAACAGTGGATTAGCACAGCTGTTCAGATAACTCAAACACATGGTAAAGTCAGACATAAGTATTGAATTGTGCCAGTGTTGCCTGATGCTTGGTACAAACACGACAACGGTACGCCAGACATAAAACGGCCACCAACACATAAAGAAAGCCAACACGACGAAAAACACTAAACGGTTCACTTTCTTTGATTTCTTCATTTTACCGGTTCTTGCTCCAATCTTTCTCAGTCGCATGACGATACTTGAATAGCACACGCAGATGATGAAGAGTGGAATGACGAAACCCATTAAGGACGTGTAGATCATGAACAGTTTCTGTGTTAAGTCGACTGCGTAGTAGTCGTCACCAAATACTGCGTTAAAATTGAAATGGCAAGCTAAATCTTCGGGATCGTAACGCAGTACGATGTTCATAGGACTAGCAGCAGCCAGCGCTAAGAACCATACACCAATGTTAACGCAGGTCGCAAGTCGTAAGGTGCGGTATCCGCGAACCCTCCGTGCATGGCAAACAGCTACATAACGATCCATACTCATGGCAGTCAAGCAAAAAACACTAGTAAACATATTCAAACCATCAATGGCGTATACCACGTGGCACATAACCGGGCCAAACACCCAATTGTTACCAGCTAAAGTTGCTATGGAGAGAAACACCAATGCAATCATGAAAAGATCGTCAGCAATGGCGAGGTTCAAGATGTAGGAATTAGTTACTGTTTTCATCTTGGCGTAGCGCAGTACCACAAAGATGACCATGCTGTTACCAATAAGACCCATCACACAGACGATTAGTAGGAACACTCCTGCCACAATTCCTCCCCAATCTTTAAAATCTTCCGATGGGCCATAGTCATCCGTACAATTCTCCGTCGTCCAGTTTCCCTGTGAGCAGTTTACGGAGACGTTAGGCCAATGGGTGGTGTCATCCATGCTGGCGGCAGGAGTCAGATACCGTGGCTGAGATCAAGAGAACAAACTTTTACTTCCTGGAGATAACGTTAGATGACTCTTGAAGATAGGTTTTTCTAATCAGTAGATCTGACTAAATCACCACATTCAGTCGGCTGAAATCCGAAGATCCTAAGCTTGTTCTGTAACTCAGCGCTTGATGTATACTGCTGATGTCTGGTGTTTATCTCTGTAGTCAATTCTATGAACAAATGGCTCCACCAAACGGACCGTGTGATATTAAAACACTTTGCAATTATTGCAATGTCGCTGTCTCCAGTCTCGCTGCATCAATGCTATCGTGCATAAGAACACATCCTCATTGTTTGTTTGTACCGCAGTGTATCCTCTCTCGGTTCTGTAAAGAAGACGATTCCCTCGTCAATCAGAAAATCACAGAATGACAAATTAAAAAAAAAAATCAATTCAAATTTGTTGTTCATCAGCGAGAACAGTGGAGTAAAAGGTATGAGAACCGCATTGAGTGCTGTCGACGTGACATGTGCCGCGTTTCTCTCTGAAATGACGGGACCGATAGCTGTGTGACTTGCATGCACTGTACCACGCATCACTGACAAACGCGTGCCATCGGTCACGTGCCCTCGACGAGCGGTGACTGGGTTTGTATCAATATTTATTAGATTTAGTCACGTGATACTGCTGTCAACAAGAGAGAGAAAAGGCTAGAAATCGTCCCTGGGCGGGAAAAATGATAATCATGATCATCCATTTGTCTTCGGGCTAATGGTTTATGGTTGAAGATTTGCTGTCGTGATGTTTTATTCAAATTATTTTGCAAAACCCGTATTGAAAGCGAGCCTTTATTCTTGCTGTATCTGTCTTTTACCCCCACAAGGCAAGGACTCCATTCTTTGCCGCCGCGGAATTTTGATCGAGAATCTGACTTTTTCCAACTCTGACTTATTAGACGGCCAGATATATATGAGAATATTTTATGGGTTACAGTTAACATAGCTACCAGCCTATATCGCTTTGAGCATCGCGTACTGGTGAACATTAAAAATCCAAAATGGCGTCATAATAGAAACTTAGTTCAATCGATGACACCTTAATGAATAAACTATGACGTAGAAACAGACTGTACTAGGGCAGATATCTGTTTAATTGGTCGGTTCAGGGCACTTTGGGATAATGCTCAAACCGATTGAGACTTGTTGAACATTGAAGCTTAGCCATCAATTTCTGAGCACCAAGGTGTATGTTCCCTGTTGCTGTACTTTATCTTATTTCGATGAAGATGTAGTGTAATCTGCCGTCTCACATTGACGCAGCTTGTTAGTAGAGCTCAGAGAGATTTACCCCGTCCGTTCACACGCTAATAGTGTATGCATCCAATATATCTTCATCGTTTCCGTAGGTATGCATGTTGGAGTCTGTACCACAGAAAGACAGACACGGCACCAAGCAGTTCCGACTCATTAAAAATGATGGATTACAGTACAAAACTACATCCATCAGACAAGATAATTCCCCTTTTCAACCGGTTACTTGTAATTCTCTTGGAATTGTTGTTACAAGGAGTGACCTGGGGAATTTGTTAATGTCCAGTCGTTGTTTATTTTGCCCAGTTATTACGGCAGAATTTAATATATTATACTGAGGTTTTCATCATGCAAAAGGACAAAGCGGTATACAAAAACCTACCTATTACATGAAGCCAATTTATTCTGAGCATTGAGCGATTTAAATTCAATCTCCAAAGATCAGGAATTTTCTGCTTTCCATATAAAAAAAAAATACTGTCATTTCATATCATGCTTCCGAGTATTAATTGCAGTACATAGATAAGGCCAAACAAAAAAGTCTCCGGTTTCTGGTATGCGCGCGCGTCGCCGTAGCCATGCGCGTCGGCAAAATGAAAACGTTTTTTTTTTTCAATGAAAGATGATGTCTCAAAACCACCAAACTCACTGGTTTGACTGGAATCCTGCTGCTGCACAATTTTAACGTGTTTTTAGATTGGGTTATGTTCGAGAATAAGCTTTATGTGGCCTCTCTGGACTTCCATATATTTGCACTAAGTTTAGTCGGGCACCATTTGCAGTCATCAGCCGACATTGGAAGCAAAACAATCAGGTAAAAAAAAAAAAAAGCCACGTCGCCGCACCACTTCTTGGGCAAGCTCCATACCAGAAACCGGAGACTTTTTTTGTTGGCCTTAGGAGACAAACGAAGGACGCTCACAGGGGGAACGGAATGATAGAAACGCGTTAAAGGGAATGAAACGAACTCCAGTGATGTGCACTGAATGAGACACAATAGCATGAATCTGGCAAAGGGACAGAGACATTGAGAATACAGGATGGAATAATACTTTATTTATTCAGATTAATTGGTAAAAACACCTGTCTCCCAAAAATACAACTATCCAATTAAAAGTAGTATACCAAATTTGATTAAAAAGCGTCCAACAGAGGAAAAATACATTAACAACAATAATTCCCTTAATTAAAATAATTCCCTGAATAATATGAAAAATCTGTGCGACAATTACATGTAGTCGTGTATATTATAATTATTTTGAGTTGCATTATAACAGTGTGTTAATTATCTCAAATTTCTGAAAGATTAACGAAATACAAAGTCAATTGCAAGACTGAGCAGGAAAATATATATTAGAAAAACTGCATAGTTATATTTCTACAGAAATTCTATTGATAGAGGATAGTCGTTGTGTTTTCCAAGCTTTTGATAGCATTTTTGAATACAACCGTTGAATGTCAATGAATCGAAAAATAACAGTTTTGAATTTATGGGACGGAGCAGCGTTTTGTGCATTTTCACTTTGACGTAGGCCATGATGACATTTCATGCCAGATTGACTTATTCCTTAAACTTGAGCAGCCTTCGTATTTCTTAGACCTCATGGGTAGACTTTATGCGTATAGCGGCCATCTTATAGGGCATCCTTCGTTATTTTAATTCAGTAACAATGAGTGCTTAAAAGGTTTATTTCTGGTATGTCACAGCAAGACAAATGTATTGCCTTGATGACTGCTACCTATAAGGTCCATATACGCCTTTTTAAAAAAATATTGTGGGCAAGAGAGAGCGCCTTTTTTTCAGTGGGTGACCTCTCTTGTATATTCACCCCGCAAATGTATTATATTATGTTATTCATTTTTTTTAAATTATTTCATTGAAAATAAAACATGACAAAAAATAAAAAGCCCCGCTTCCTCCTTTTTTTCCAAAAAACCTGGACGAGAAACATGCTTTTTTTTATTCGGCCTAAGGAGCCTGCCGACAGGTTGCTTGTATGAGGCTGCATCCTAAGGCCAAAAAGAAAAAGTCTCCGGTTTCTGGTATGCGCGCGCGTCGCCGTAGCCATGCGCGTCGGCAAAATGAAAACGTTTTTTTTTTTCAATGAAAGATGATGTCTCAAAACCGCCAAACTCACTGGTTTGACTGGAATCCTGCTGCTGCACAATTTTAGCGTGTTTTTAGATTGGGTTATGTTCGAGAATAAGCTTTATGTGGCCTCTCTGGACTCCCATATATTTGCACTAAGTTTAGTCGGGCACCATTTGCAGTCATCAGCCGACATTGGAAGCAAAAAAAAATCAGGTAAAAAAAAAAGAAAGCCGCGTCGCCGCACCACTTTTTGGGCAAGCTCCATACCAGAAACCGGAGACTTTTTTTTTGGCCTAACAGAGTTCCACTCGAGTCGAGACTGAGCCAAAGAACTCGAGACTGTATTATTCGCTGCATACTCGATTCTGGTATTCTTGAGTATGATTTATGTAAGTCCGAATACAGCTATTGAGTTCAACAATGTACGCTCGAATAGATAGTGTCGAGTAAAAAAAACTCACCGAGTACGAGTCAACATCACGAGTAATAACTTCGCGTAGGCTACAAGACGTGTTTTCCCCCTAAACCTACAAGTAAATTGGCTTTGAATAATATTCTACATTCACACTTTTCGTATTTGTGTCTGCAGGCTATAGCGCCACCTTGTGTCAGTGTTAACGATTACTCCCATCCTTAATCGAATAAAAGGTACGTACAGAAATTCGCACACAGTATATGCTCAAGTTCACAGCTTTAGGAAAAATGTACACGGTTCAAATTCATGCCGACATTTAAATTGTTGTTGACGTCACTGCGATCCATTTCGATCGCTCGAGAGTTGACCGTTGCTCACAATTTGAGTTTTGTCACACATGGCCATCAATACAAAAGTCATCTATCTTCCGTTCACACGGCGCTAATCGAGTGCCGTGATGAACTCACTAATTGCTAGCGGTAATGCCTGTGTACTGGTAACTTATGAAACACTGTTTGGAGTGATGGTGTTGTACCAATGCTCGTTCTGTGTACCGTGTGTGTGAACGATGTAGAATGGTGGAATGTGTGTCCCCGAGCAATGCTGTTTACTCTGATAAGTGCCTGTACGAGTAAAAGATAGACGTTGTTTCAGATATGTCTTAGTAACGTTTGTCAGTGCCTCAAATTGGGGCTTTAACCTTTTTTATACGAATGAGAAAGGATTCGGTTACCAGCTTCAACATTCTTTTGAATGATGATTAAAGCAAACGTTTTAAAGGTCTCTTAACTCCCCCCCCCCCCCAAAAAAAAAAATTGCGTGTGAAGCAGAATGTCCCGAATTTATTTGCACCCTGTAGGGTGATTAACGCATTCGTTACGTATTTTTAAACCAATGGTACTGCATATAGCTCTGGAAACAATGTTTAATGATGCCACATATTATAACATTTTAATGAGACAGCGATTAATTCAGTTCTACGTTAGTCCATGGCTCTCGGCTGTTGTAATCAACTATACAATTATGCTATTGGTATATACCAATATTAACCTGAATGCAAATATTGCTTTTCTACATTCTAAAAAAAAAAAAATTATGAAGAACTCACTTTTGAAATAATGAAAACATTGTTGAGTGTATTTGTGTTCCTAGCCCCCACTTTATAAGTCCCAATTATACTATTTTCATCATGGCCGTACTTACGGTTACCTTATGACAAAAACAAATGTGGATTTAAATTATGTGGTGTCTGTATCGGACCACTCACCGTCCAATACAGATACCACATAGTGTATATTTACGTAACAACGTGTAGTTGTTGCTTTGTGTACTGTGCACTTGTTCAACAGGGTTTACAACGATCAGTGTACATTGTGAACTGTGAGACAAACATGTTCATATAAAATTTTATAATACGTCGAAAGTTTTTCTTGAACCCAAAATTGGAACCGATCCGTGTTGATATCGAAAGTAGGCCAGTAGGCGATAGCGAATGCATTGCACAGCGCACACCCAAGACATTGGAAATCGTACCATGATTTTGTAAACATTATTCAATGAGAATTTGCACCTAGCCTATCACATATCGTCGTGTGCCCGGCAGAAGGGCATATGTGCATATGCCCTTATGCAATAGCGCGTAATGACCAAAATGTTCCCAGCAAAAGGGCATATGCAGAAAACTGCCTCCATTTGAATGAAATTTAAACATTTTCAT